CGTACAGCGCCGCGCTCCAAACATACACCTTTAACAACCTTTTTCGAATTTCCAAATTAACCGTTCGTGAGCATAGAAGTGACTTCTTTTTATTAAAGGCGACACGACCCTGCGCTATCCTCCGCTTAATATCCCTACTACTCCTTCCGTCCTGACTTATCTGATTTCCTAGATATCTAAAATCAGCCACTTCTTCTAATTGCTGATAATTCTAAAAATTTAAGTAGCAGATCAGTTGGGGTAGGTGATTTCAAGTATTGAAATTAAAACTACAAATCTGTTTTGAAAAGTTGCGAACGTAGTAGGTACTTTTATTGTTTCCAATGTCCCAATGTTCCCCAGTACCTCTCTCATCTAGAAAGGGGTGGGGTGATTTGTCGTGGTAATCAAAGTACGGCCCAGAAGCTAGTGGATGATCATTGCTGATAGTACCGACGCAATGTGGCGATGCAGCATCCATCTTTGATCTCACATGTCGCACACGATCCCTCAAATACTTGAGAACCTCTAGGAGAATGCAACATTTACTGTTGGTCATTCAAGAAGAAATTCATAATGGGCAATTTATATAAAAACAATGGAACAACATAATTTTAGTCTTGGATCCACTTTTTCAACAATTTTTCGTTTCGTGGTCTATCTTTTATCTTTCATTATTTAGTATGTGACTTAAAATTGATTTTACACGTTTAGAACATCGATTCGCACCCAGTAATCACTCTTTCAAGAAAACTAGAAATTTCATCAGAGTTGTTCCAAATGATGTAGGATTCGGTTCTTATCAATATCAGTTATCAACAACTTTGATACGACTTTTAACCACAATCTTTTCAATTCCAAATATTCATCGAAAACGATCCGAAGAGTATATTGGCGATTGAAAAGTAAAAGATGCTTATGAGACTTCAATGTTTTTACCGACACAAGAGGTTGAGGATCAATGGTCTTTTTAGTACGAGCAACTTTTAGTTCATACTTATTCCTTATACCTTAAACCTCATTGATGTGAAAACCCCTGTAACTTGAGAACGTTGATATTTCTTCACTATTTTAGGTTCTATTACCATGATATGTTTTATGTGTTTATAGTTTATATTGTAAACTTAATTGACATTAAGGACAGTGGAACAGTAAAAGTTTTTGTAACTTCGACAAAATAAAATTTTGAATTCTGTTACTCCAAATATCTAATTGTTGAAGTTCATGCCGTAGCTTTGTGCAGTTGAGTTTTAGAAGCGCGTTGTGATTTTAATTAAACAACTCCCGTTATGTTAAATGTATTAATTTTTTTAGTCAAAAAGTTTTCCGGGATTATTAAATCACGGACACTCAGTTTTTAATTGGTAGAGTGGGGTCGTGTTACCTATACAGAAGCTTAAAATATTTAGTTTAGATTTAACGAAAAAGTTGTGTGGCACGTCGGAGGAAAGTATTAAAAACAAGTCTGCTCGTGAACACTTTGAATACTTTAGGCAACGCCCGAAAGCCGTTCATTAAAATCCATCAACTCTCCATGGAATATTTTTTAAATGAGATTAAATATTTCTGCTTTCGTTTCTTTCATTTAAAGTACCTACAAAATAGCTAGAAATAAGTAATCCTATTTGGAATGGAACAGGAAACTTTTGTCATATAAAATAATACTACAGACGGATTAAATATGGAAGACCGTGAGGTTTCTCTCTGTTTCTACTAAAATATATTTCGACTTAATTTCTATTTAGTTTTAACAATCATATTTTTTTACTTCACATTAAATTTATACTAAAGGTAATACAGATAATGCTTTATCTTTAAATGTCAAAAGACGTTTTCTATTGTCTCTACAATGTGCTCTTTGTCTATCTTAGCATAGAAGATACCGCAAATGGCGCGGTAAACGCCATCTGTAGTACGATGCTACATTTTAGGATTACGTATGCTCCAACAAGGTCCATTTAAATATATGGATATCTACTTGCTGAAACGAATCCCGGCGTAGCTAACCTCAACGTTATAGGCACGTTACCATAATCGAATAAAATAATTCGAAGTGGNGATAACTAAAAATCAGATGGTGTTTTCCAAGGCCATAAGCTAAAGAAAATACTAATGAAACCTAAAATTCCACATAAAAAGTGTTGAAAAAGTGTCATCTTCCGGTAGTGAACATTAGCTAATCTAATAAGCTACTAAGGAATTGCAATAACTCGTTAACATACGGCAGCATATTTCCTCCTATATATATGTACTGCCTCATTACAATGACCAAACAAACGGAATGGTATGTTATGAAGTTACGTTTATTTTGGCTATACTTAAATGATGTAACCTACAAAATTGCTATTATAATAGTGTTTTCTATGTCTATTGAGTTCAATGTGCTGTTACTCTTACAATTTGAATTGGCTTGTGCGGACTGTCGATAATAATTTTACAGTAAATATGGAGCACAAATTTAAACCATCGACATTTGCCATTTTCAATAAATTTCTAATGAAGAATTTAATATTCTCCATTTGAATTTGTTAAATAAATCCTGGAGTGATTATTGCAGATACAGAGAAAATTGGTAAAACAAACCTTATATAAAATGGAAGCAGTGACAGAAGAGTATGGAATGAAAAGATATAAAAAAATAAATGGAAAATATTGGTAAATAACGAAGCTGTAAGTAGGGCTACAGTATAATATAAAATTTGATACGAAATACTAAAGGAAGTCGCCAACTTTCAGTAGTAACTAGGAAGCCAGATAATTGACGATAAAAAAGCGGTATCTAAAGAAGTGATACAAGAAATAGTGCACAGTCGAGTCACTTTTAGCAAAAAGAAATTCCTTTTTATTCTTGTGAATGGTTAAATTAGAAATTCGAAAATGATTATTAAATGTGTATGAATGTAGATGTTGAACGCGGCAGATAGAAAAAGTTAAAAACCTTTGAGGTATGGTGTTAAAAATAGCCTAAATAGAAAGACTAGAAATGAGGATGTACTGTGAACAAATCAAAGGACGCTATGGTCAATAAGGAGAAAGGAAGAAAGGATGATATGACGTCTTCTGAGAATGGAGACAAATTAGAGTAAACAGGGGTAACAGGAGGCTTAGATCAGAGTACCTACTGTTCGCAAATGGCTAGGGATGTGATATGTACTAGTTTTCGGGAAATACGAAGTCTGGCTCGACAGGATAGGAAGGAACATAAATTGTATTCAACCGGGTTTTCTTTTAAGGATGATGATAGTAATAAAAATTATTCTTTAATTTGAAAATTATAAATAAATAACATATCTAATGCCTAGCGACTCCACCAACAAGCATATAATGATGAAAATACCTTCTACTGTTTGAATTTGCCTATGCAAACCTTCGAGTGAGGCAAAGTAGTACAAAAATTTGATTTTCATATAAGATAGTAGATTTCGTAATAAGTTAAAATCCCTTTGTTGTTTGTGATGTAGCGTCAGAATTTAAGGCGCACTGTCTTCGTTATTTAATGATTCAGAAATCGTATTCCAAAAATATTCTTTATTGTGGACATGTTACAGCACAAATGATGTCGAGCGTTAATTTTTGGTAACCATTTGACGTGTTCCTCGTAAAACAAACATATGGAACGTTAAAAAACTTTATGTATCAACACAGTTATTATTTCGATACATTGTATCATTTTCATCAGGTAAAAGAATGGTTTTCCATTTTTCCAACTGAAGAAGATCCAATATTTTGAAAGAAGAAAAATCGCTCGAACAGAAAATTGCCCTTCGAGATTATTGCAAAAATATATATAGAAAGGAGGTCCCATACAGTAGTGTATTAACGAGACGCTTTTCTATTCCATGACCTGTTTTTCCGTTAGGGTGGATCAAAGTTGACCGATATTGAATTTTATTTCATCAATTTTAAACATACAAGATTTGATTCTGAAAATTCGAGTATCAATAATGAATTTAAATGTTACATTAGTTTTGATATAATTTCAATATTTCTCGTTCAAAAATTTTTTCTAATTTCAATATCGTAACTTTCTTACTTCAAGTGATGCCGGAAAAAATTCTTTCATATTGTTATTAATCGTGATAGAAACTGCAGGAGTGGACTTCTCGACCATCGAAATCGATCAAGGATTAGTCATAGTAACCACATCAATGTTGATGCCTCGTTGCGGAAAAATTAGCAGTGAAATCGGAAATGTCCCATTCAAATAATACTTTATTCATTTCGGCAATATTCCCAAATGCCCATATATATTCATTAAAATAATTTTATTTCTTAATATACTTTTGTAATTTTTCCTGCATTTGTTTTAAGGATTAATCTCCTTATAGGTCCTTTGAAGAAACCTTTGCAATTCTGAAAAACTAACTTTATGAGGTTTTCTTCTTGTAAACCCTAGACAAAAATTTTCAGTCTCTCTCCATGCAGTCTCTCAGAGTCTTTCAGCGTCTCTGAGAGTGTCTCTCCCAGTCTTTCAGTCTCTCAGTTATTGCCTAGGTGTTTTTATGGATCTCTCACAGTCTCTGTATGAGAGACTCGAACGAAAAAATTGTTAAGTCAGGATTCGAGTTTCTCACAGAGAGACTGAATGAATAAATCTGAAAAATTGAGAGACACGAGTCTCTCTTAGAAAGACTGAGGTCTTTGAAATACGTTGAACTCTCGTTCAGACTGGATACGAAATGAAGATCTCGGTATGGGCGACTCGAGTCTCGCTTTCAGAGACTCTGAGAGACTGAACGTTTTTATCTCGGGAAACTCTGAAATTTTCCAGCTTGAATTTTTCATTAATCGTTATGTTTATGTCGAAATTCATATAATCGAGTATCTTCGTCATATGGATATATCTTGAAGCACCTGTCGAAAGTGGTGGGTAGTATAGTTCCCACGTATTTCACACCTTTTCGTATAAAAGCTCGATTGAAGGGAGCTTTAAATCCGCGCATGATCGAAAGCTCTAAGCGTCTGCACTATACCTGCCGTCCGTCGTTCAACATTTTCAGTAAACGTCGCGCTTCAAAACCAGCTGCAGGGACGCTTTTTATTAGCGTCTGGAGCGTCTGGTGGCCGGCACTTTACGCGACATATACGCTAGTGTACCGGTGTCCCAGTGCCGCAGTTCTAAACTATGCTTATGAAAGCTCCGTTCAAACATGAACTAAAAGTTACTGGAACGCAATTGTGACGCGAACAAGATGTAAATTTAAGAAAACATTTCAGTGAGTTTCGTTCCAATTTCAATTTAATCTATAAATGTTAGACTGCTACTAAAACTTTTATACTGCAATTGTAATTGCATTTTCAGTACCTAAGAAAAGTTTTAAATGCTATTAATAGAAAATCGGAAAACTTTATTAATAACTTTAAGAAAAGTCCAAACTAAGTTTGATGTTAGTTAAGTTGATAAAAATGATTTATAGGCTTAATAATTGGAATAATAAAAATGTATACCTAACTACCGATAATTTCAAAATTATTTATGATTACAATTAATCCTTGGTAGTAGCTGCATATTGCAAAAAGTTGCATGCTGCATTGCGTACACTGAACCAAAAAAGTATGTAAATACAAAAAAAAAGTACATTATATCAATAAAAGGTACTTTGTTTTTGGTCCAATAAAGAGTTTGTTGTACAATAAAGGTGTTTATTAACCAACGTACAGTATATTGAGGCAAAGAAAAATCGTTCATTAAAAAATCAAATCCAATTCATTGAAGCAACGAACAGCATCCTTTGTTCAGCAACTCGATTCGTTGTAATAACTTTTTTTAAATTAATTTAAATTTTTTGTAGTAATAAATAATTCATTGTCTCAACAAATTATCCGTCAATAAATACCATTAACTAATATTACGAACAATTTTTTTTTTGTGTAGTGTAATAAATACAACAAGTAACTTTTGTGAATGTATTAAAACATTATTCACTTTCTAAAAATTTTCTTGCTTTTTGCTAATAAATCAATATATAAGATGACTTTTTTGTAAATATTTGAATCAACTATATTTCAATTCATTTACAGAAAATACACTCAACTTAACTGAAATGCTATAAACGAACGAAATTTATAAATTGCTCATCAAGGAATCTAGTAATTATTTCAAAAGTTTAAAGATCAGTTGAATCACGCGAAGGGAATAATAAATACATTAAAATTAACTAAAAGTGAAAACAACCCAATTGTCATTAAACATATATAGTTCAATTAAAAAAATTGATAGTTAGCATTTGGGAAGTTTGAAAAAATGATTTTATTTTGTATGCAGGAAAAATATATAAGGCTTATAAATTTTTGACCAAGCTGATATATTAATGGAATATATGTACTTTTTGCCAAACAGTGACTTCGTCAGACATAAACTGTTAATAGTAAGTCCAAAGTAGTTTTTTTCTAGTTAATTGAGATATTTATCAACTAAAGGTAGAAAAACTACAACATAAGAATAACTATTATTATTGTGACGAACAGGAGTCAAACTGCACAGGCTTTGGCATCTTGTATAAAGATACGCTTTAAAGAGATAGCTACCAATGAATTAAATCATGAAGATCGAGAATTTCAGTGAAATACAATTCCTGTTTCAAAGTTGTGCTTATCTAGTTAATTGCAATTTTCATCAAAAAGAGATCGAAACTACATAACACAAATAGCTATCATTATAGTGACGAAAAGGAGTCAAACTGCACAGTATTTAGTATATTGTATAAAAATACGCTCTGTAGAGATAGCTAGCAAAGAAAGAAATCATGACGATCGGGAATTTCAATGGAATAAATTTTTGCTTCAAAGTTGTGTTTATTCTAGTTAAATGCGATTTTCATCAAGTAAAAGTCGAAACTACATAAATACGAATAACTATCCCCGAGATAAAAATGTTCAGTCTCTCAGAGTCTCTGAAAGCGAGACTCGAGTCTCCGTCTCTCATCGAGTCTCTCTGGTGTCGCTGAGAGAGACTGTCAAAAAAACTGTTTAGCGTCTCTGAACCAGAGACTCGAGTCGCCCATAGAGAGATCCTCACTTCGTATTCAGTCTCTGAACGAGAGACTGGAATCTTTCAATAAGTGGTGTCTCGATAGACATGGTTAAAATTTTCTGAATTTCTGAATTAACAATATTATCGTTCGAGTATCTCATGTAGAGACTGTGAGAGATCCATAAAAACACCTAGGCAATAACTGAGAAACTGTGAGAGACGCTGAAAGACTCTGAAAGACTCTGAGAGACTGGAGAGAGACTGAAAATTTTTGTCTAGGGTCACCTTTCAAACTTGCACAGCAAACATTTAAATTAATTCACTAATCACAAAATAAACAGTGTACTAGGTAAGGATTGAATACTTTAACATTTTGGGTACCGTTATATTGATTTTTTGGTGTTGTTCTTCATTTTTTTCAGTCACAAACAACGAAACCACTTTCCATGGTAGTCGAAATCCGGGTAGGTTTGCGTCTGTCGTGCAAATTATTGCCATTAAAATTCATAACAATACATCGTTAGTCAAGTCTAGAATTCCCTTTGGTATTTATTATTAAAGCGTACTCATTCGTCTGCGGTTGTTGCTTGTATGTTCATTCTGTGTGTGTGGTTCATGTGCATGTACGTTTGTACATACGTATTAGTGTTCGTAGCGAATTTTGCAGCCGACGAATTTGCTTTTTCAATGGCAAAATGTGTCTTGAGAGAATTCCTTTAACGTTTATTATACCGATACAATACATTTTAATAACGTACCCCTGTTGCAACCACTAAAATGCCCTAAAGGGGCGTTCGCGAAAACTGTTCTGAAATGACTTAATCATTTGCCTGACATATTTATCTATACAATCATACAAAGTTTACTCAAAAGTCCTTTGTTTCGTCTTAAAATTTAGTCTACGTGATCAAAAAGGATTTAATGGATCGGTACAGATAGATTTCATCATCGTACCTCTGAAAAACTAGACTTGTTCTTACTGGTGTTTTTATTTACGGCTGTTCCTAGAAGATGAGAATTAAATGACGGCTATAATACGAGATAAATGTCACTTTTATGTAAATATCAACAATAAATTGANAATATTACTTTTTATAAAATAATTAAAAGTACTCATTCGCATTATGGACAAAACAAGTGTTCACAGTTTTTAATTTTTTATGGTTATTCCTTTTGGTTATTTTATTATTTCCACACCACAATCTCCTTTTTAGTGGATTTCATTTTTTACGACCTTGGTTATAGTGACAATTTTGCTTTAGCGGCGTTAAATCTAAGTCCCTTGAATTTAAAGTATACTTTTGTACAAAATTCATGTGGCTATAACGACTTCGGATGTAGCGACTGTTTATAACAAATCCCTAGTAATCCCATGCAGATATAGCGACCGGAGTCGGCCGTCAAAGACACAAAGAACTTTCTTATCTTTTGTTAACATCCGCACCGATGGTTAGCAAGTGTATGAAATCTAAGAATTTCCTAGGAATTGTATACAATTCCGAGGCTATTTAGGGAATCTATGAAATATTGTTTCAAATATTCTTTTAATACACACACATCATTTATACATTTCCTAGGAATTGTATGAAATTCCGATATTGTACTAGGAAATGTATAAAACGAATGTTTTCTGTAATTAAAATGACTAGAACACGTTAGTTAAGTGAGAATCAGAGTTATCTCTGAATTCAATAAATCGCCTAATCAGATGATGCAATACTTTAATCCATAACTAATCGCGATATATATTATATTATTGAATTGAACTGCACAAGGGAGCTCTGTACACTACTTGGATTTGGATTAATGATTTTTATGTTGTTTCGTTTAAAGGTTCCTTAAAATAAAATAGTTTTACTACACAGAACCGTTAGGTATTTCTATATTTCTAATTATTAGAAACATTAATTATGTAATTGCAGTTTACCTAGAATATTATATATTTAGAAAGCCTTAAGGTCTACCTCTCGTATATGCGAAAGCTCATGAGATTATGAAGTAGCTATACCCTTGTAATTCGTTTTGTGAAATCAATACCTTATCGTTTTGTAATTAACGAAAAAGAAATAGTCGTAATGGATTTTTACATTAGGCTACAGTAAATTATTTTCTCGAGACGTTTGCATCCTTAGGGCATTTTTTGATAAATTGAGCAATTGACTTTTATCAGAAAAGCTGCGAAGATGCTGACCACACGCGTTAGTGAAATGTCAAGAGCACGACCTAAAAAATCTTTAGTAAAAACAAAGGTCGTGAAGATTTGAATATCCTTTGTGATTTCAATACACCCAAAATAAATCCTTGTGATGATGGAAGAACAAACCGGGACATATAAAAAATACAAACAGACTGCTTGCTGATTTACATAACTGTCCTTTTGATTTATTTCATTAATCGCAAGTGTTTGATATATTAATCCGTTTTTTTTTGTGCAGAAAGTATATTAATGGGAAGTTCAAGTCTCACTATAGGATTTTACAGACGAAGGTTTTGGTATATAATACGTCAATGTAGGAATATCGTGGTATTATTTAGCTTGATTTGGGTGATATATTTGCAAGGCAAGACGGAGAAAGATCGATTGATGATGTGCCATTTTAGCTTACGCTTTATACGTCAGCTACTGGAAAGGATAAGTGTCAAAATGATGTATAATACAGTTGCAAAAACCACAAGGTGTCATACTTTTCTGTTTTGCAAAGAAACAAAGAAAAGTATTTAATACAATTGTAAATGAACAATAAATTTGCAAACCGACCCTTAAAGAGTAAAATAGAAGGCTGGGTGAATTGGAAAGGAAGGAAATTAGAAATAAATAAATCTTGATCAAAGCTCTCTATCATGCCGTGAGTGAAGCATGAATGGTCTAGAAGTAATGTTCGTTAATTAAAGAAGTAACTTTAATTATTATCTACTTTATCTACCAGAAAAGATGGAATACATTTTTCCACCCTACACTACGATTTTGCCTAATAGGTTATCCTCTCTCTGGTCTAAATATTACGCGGTTGGAACCCCTGACATGAGAATTACAGTAATAAGCACGACATGATTGCACCATTTTCAAACAAGGGGAAAATACATTTACTATTATAGATAATGTTGATAGATATGCTGAATCACGCAAAAATGTCCGGCATTTAGACTACACTTCAGTAAATATACAGGATTCGTACGTTCAAACCAGCATCTAGGACACTGTTCGCCTAGAAACTCACGCACTGGTCAATGCACTAATAATAC